TGGTGGGCGGGAACTTGCGCGCTGGGGCGGGGCCTTTGCGGTGGAGGCGTGGCCCGTCTGTGTTGGCGCTGATGGGACGGACAAGTTGCCTTTCGAGTGTTCCGAGGTTTTTGTTGCGTTGATTTGCACTCTCTAGACAATCCCTCCAAATAATGCTTTTGGGAGCAAATCATATGTGTTTTCGGACAGTGACACCTCATTTAGGTAATGCAGTGTTATTTTCTCAACCATTATAACGAATATTTGCTAAGTACGTTATGTGCGCCACGCTGTGGCTAAGTATTTTATATCCATTATTCAGGTTAATCCTCACGTCGACCATACGAGGTACATATTACTACAACCATGTTACTGAAGAGAACCTGAGGTTCAGTGAACTTAAGGACTTGCCAGAAGGTCCATACAGCTAGTAAATGGCAGAACCAGGGTGGGACTCTCGTCCTTGCAGTTCCAAGGCCTTGGATCCTAACCAACTGGACTTCACAGCAATCCTATGGATTAAGCAAGTCAATTCCCCATTTTGCTCCTATGGAAACTGAGGCTCCAATACTTGCCTATAGTCACCTTTCTGAACTGAAGGTTTCATTTCTGTCCCTTCACACCCTGTGGGTTTCCTCACACACAGAGGGATACCATAGAGATTTCTAGGGAAAATGGGCATGGGAACCTCTCCCCAGAGGACCTCTACAGACCATCAGTGCTTAGATTCTGTACTCCTAACACCCAAGCAGTGGCCTCCTTGACTATGATCACACATCTATGAGCATAGAGGAAATTCCATTACAGTCTTTTTCACCACCTTTTCCCATCACACAGTCTTAAACCCAGTGACCCTAGGCAGGTTCTTTTCCTTAAAGTATGAGCTCTGCACATACCTGCTTCCATACCTTTGCTCATGCTGTCCTTCCTAGACTTCCCTCCTACCTATCTTACTCTCTAAATGGGATCCATTCTTCAATGCCAAGTTCAGACATCCTCCCTGAAGCTTAGAGATCTTGTCTCCATGGATTTCATATCTCTCTCCATGTGGCCCCTTGATACTCTGTAGGGACCTCCATTTCTTACATTGTTTAGTATTACTGAGGAAAGTTGTCTAATGTATGCTAGACATTGATAAATTCACCAGTGTGTTTAATTGGGAAGAGAAACAAAGAGAAAGGAATTCCAGTGACACTGCTCACCTGATCACATATGAAAAGGAGTGTGAGATGGACCCTACACCTTCTCCTCCCTCAGTCAAGTTCTCTTCCTGTATCCTATCTTAGGGTAAGCAAAACATGATTCTAATATTCAAATAATGATCTTTTTTCATACAACATGACCTAGGAATACAACCCAAATAGTCATCTCGGTTTTCACCTTAGAACTTGACTGCTGTCTAAAGCACGGCTCTTTGTATTTGTGTTTATGTCATTTCTTCCCTCATGGGCTTTAAGCTCCTTGAGTTAGAGAGCCTGCCTTATGCTACCTTTAGTTTTCAGCATCCCAAGTTATCCCAAGTAGCGCTGCCTTGAACCACTCAAGTATCCTTTGCCAACTGCACAGTCACTGCACAGTCTAAGGGGCAAACACCAGTCTGTTTTCTCTCCTCCTTTGATGTCTAACTTTCTAGTTATAAAATATACATTTATTTTCAAAAACTTGATTTGCAGAAAACTTCTTTTAAAAAAAGAAAACTTGGCAAGGCACAGTGGCTCATGTCTGGAATGCCTGCACTTTGGAGACCAAGGAGGAAGGCTCACTTGAACCCAGGAATTCAGAACAAACCTGGACAACATGCTGAGACCTTATCCCTACAGAAAATCAAAAATTAGCCAGGCATGGTGGCACATACCTGTAGTGCCAGCTACTCAGGAGGCTCAGACGGAAAGATCACTTGATTCCAGGAGTTCGACACCACCCTGGGCAACAGAGCCAGACCCTATCTCTAAAAAACAAATTAATTAAAAATTAGCTAGGCATGATAGTTCATGCCTATAGTCTCAGCTACTTAGGAGTCTGTGGAGGGAGGATCAGTTGAGCCCAGAAGTTTGAGGCTGTGGTGGTGAGCTATGAATCATGCCACTGCCCTCCAGTCTAGGTGGCAAGAGTGAGACCCCGACTCAATATATATAATAAAAAATTTTAAAGCCGGAACATGACATTTTTGTGATGACTGATGTTTTCCCAGGATGCTAAAATAAAAATTTTTCTGAAACTCTTAGTAGTGAGTTAGGAGTATAGGGAGGGTCCACTTCCAAACCCAGATAATTCCATAAGTTGCCATAAAGGACACAGAAAAGATGAGGTCTCCAGCCCCCAAATAGCAAGGAGTTTTATATAACAAATTAAGGCATCCAGAAACCACTTCCAAGGAAATTGGAACTCATATAATGCTAATTCAATTGGTGTTCTTGTTTCCAGAAATTTCTCCTTCCTGATAAATAGAATATGTACGCATGCTGAATGCATGAAATTACTCCAGGTAATTTCTGAGTCTGGGTCTGGGTGACAAGACAATAGCAGTGCCATTGATATAGGCAGAGAGTCTGCTTGGTGGTAACCATGACAACACTTCACCTTAAAACGTCTTGACACTGGAGTGATAAGCCAATAAAGTGGAGAGGTCTGGTAAAAAACTGGAGTGTGGGAGTGGCCTCTGTGACTGGGGAGTGAAAGCACTAGTCTGGGAGTGAGGAGGCAGAGAATATCTCTCCCTATTCCATCATCCCACCCTAACCTTCCTACACGTGTATAATTTTTGCAGGGTGAGGAGATCTGCCATAAGTGTGTGGGTGTATGTGTGTGTGTGTGGTGTGTGTGTGTGTGTGTGTGGTGTGTGTGTGTGTGGTGCAACCAACATTTTCGTGTTGAGAGTCTGAAAGGGGGCACAGTCAGATCCCTGTGGGGAAGGGGGCTGAAGCAGAGGCATGAAGAAGAAAGAAGATGGTCAGAGTTTTGCTTGGCAAGGAGGCCCATGCCTGAGTCCACAAGGACTTCTGCATGTGACCTGGGCAGCACTGCCACCAGTGGGAACGACTGCCACACCAAGCCCAGTGTCGGGGGCAGGAGCTGAACCAAGAGGTACAGCTCAGCAGAGTTCCTTGGGAAGCAGATCCCCAGCCAGCCGCTCCGCAGACTGCCACCCACTGCCTGTGGGTGCATCAGAACCCGGAGGAAGCGCTGCTCTCCTGCCTTTCCTGTCTTGGAGGGCGACAGGCAATTCATTTGCTCTAGCCCTCTGACTCAGATTCTTTTCTCTGTGCTGTCGCCACCCCCTGTGACTTCAGCAGACGTCACTCTCTAACCTGTTCAGTCACTCTGTAAATCAGGACTGGGCTACAAGGCATAGGCCCACAGGGCTGATGTCCTTGAGGAGAGGGACTGGGGAGGCTACATATCACCTGAGGGGAGCAGGAGCCCAGGGACTGTAGCCAGACAAGGGACCGCAAGCAGGAGAAGCAGCCTGGGGTTACACGTTTCCCTGTTGCTGCTGAGGGTCTACCTCATAAACCAAGGGAATGTCTCAGACACACAGAGATCAAATCTTAACATTAGTTGGTTCCCAAGCCCTCGCCCAGAACAAATGCTGTGCAGTGTGAACAGAGCTGTATATTGTTGCCAGAGGGAGAGACTCATTCATAAGTCAGCTAAAGCTGTGTTCTTTTCCTGTTCGTGGACACGTGTGTTGTCCTCTGAACAGTTCTTGATGCTACTTGTCTCTGGCCAGGTCCCACATGTGGAGTCATGACCCAGAAAGCCTGTCTTTACCAACAAACCCTCTCTGCTCCTTCTTTTTTTTTTAATTATAAAGATATGGGGCACAATTCAGGGTTAGGTATACAAACGTTGATTATGCAGGTACTCTTGTTGATGAGGTATGCCCCTCCCTCCCCTAGCAGTCCCTCAACTGCCAATCCCACCCCCCTTCCCCTGACAGTTTCCAACTACTGCCAATCCCTTTCTTATAGCATTGTAATTGTTCAAGGTCCACTTATGGGTGAGAACATATGGTACTCTGTTCTTTGTTTCTGTGATAGATCACTGTCTGCTCCTTCTTGGATGGCCACATATGTCACCGCAGCTTTGCTCCCCACCTCTCACCCACACACGACACTCACAAAGAAGAGGGATGCTAGAAAAGCTTCTGAGAAGTGGATGCATTTCCTAGCTTCTAATGAGCTGCTCACTAGTAAGCTTCCTTTTTTTTTAAATCAAGTTCAGAATATGGGGACAAAGCTGGGCTCAGTGGCTTAGCCGTAATCCCACGCCTTGGGAGGCTGAGGTGAGTGGATTGCCTGAGCCTGCAGGTTCGAGACCCACCTGGGCAACTTGGCGAGATCTCATCTCTACAATAAATCAAAAAATTAGCTGGGTGTGGTAGCGCGCGACTGTAGTTCCAGCTACTTGGAAGGCTGAGGCAGGAGGATCGCCGGAGCCCAGCAGGTCGAGGCTGCGGTGGCCAGGAGCGGCCACTGCACTCCAGTCTGGGTGACAGAGTGAGACTCCAACTCAAAAAAAAAATATATGAGGACAACTGTGGAATAAAAAAGGTAAGTTACCCTAAGTTCGTTTAGTATAGGTAAGATATTACTGTGAATATGTGGGGGGGTTGGGGGGTTGTTTTGGGGGGGTTGAGTTTACACTTACACTTTATGTAAGCGTTGTGAAAGGCTCGTTTGCTTGTATCCTACTCTCCTCCATTCTGAGATAGCTGAGTCTGTAGTAAATCAAAGCACAGCTACCCAGTCTTGTCACCAACAGGTGGTTCCCGCTCTCTCCTCACACTTGCCTCAAGGCCATGTATAGAAATCAGAGATTGTGGCTTCTGGTATCAAAAGAAAACTTATAAGCCTTGGTGGTAGGCACTATACTAGGTTCTCTTTCTTAATAGTTGTACTGAGATATAATTTGCAAACAGTATGATTCACCTATTTAAAGTATACACATCAGTGACTTTCAGTAAATTCACAAAGCTGGGCATCAATCACT